TTTAAACATTTCGCAGCTACTTATATGAAGTAAATTCAAAGTTTCATGTCAAGCGCCATTATCGATGCGAAGCGTTAAAGTTTTGCTTCGTTTTTTCTAATATCACTTGATGAAACAACTTCGCAGCTGTATAAATCAGTGAAGCTATTGGAAAAAAAATTGAAAGGCCTCAAAGATACGGTATGTGGTTCGTAACGAATAACATCGATTCGCGTTTCTAAACATTAGGGTGCAGAGACTGCGCAGTACGGACTGGAAATCATCTTTAAATGTAAACAGACGACTTTTCAGCTTCGCACTCAATTCATCTTTCGTGAGTGGCCCTCTTTAGAGTTACGTAATCACCTTGGAATATTTTGGGTTGATTCTGACGTCAGCAGCCGCAAAATTCGCCCCTACCACTGACTAAGCGCGAAAACACTCTGAATGCTGAAATATTTTAAACTCGATTACGTAATCTTCTCCCATACATTTCCTGCTATGCAGTCAGCCTTGAGTTGTGTTCTTCTTTTATATCGGTCTTTATTACACCATTGTACGGTGTATCGCCGCTCGTATTTTCACTTCATACTTGTTTCTCACTCTGCAAAAAGCTGTTTATTTGTCTTATTGCCTTAGTGTCAAATTATGCGTTATCGCCTTTCGGGATTAGCCTTTTTACAGTATTTATCCGAAAGCCTTTTAGAACCCTTTTCAGCACTAACATCATAAAAAAATAATTCCTCTTACATTACTACCATAAATATTTCCTCACACGGCATTAATTCCATCAATCCAACTCGAAAGTGAAAGTTGTAAGACCTAACACGATGACTTGAAATGTTTTCGAAACCAGGTTAACTTATTTCGTAAAGCTACCCAAAGGACATCGTCCTGTCGCGAGAAGGATGAGTTAACTTACTACGTCATTTCACCTCATTCATTGCTTTTCTTTACACGAGTAACTAGTGGCATTGGAAACAAATCTTAATCAATTATTCCTAGTCAAGTGGGAAGCCTTTGAATGATAATGAAGCCATGTTGACTTTCGTTGCGCTACAGTAAACATAAATAATTTAAAAACAGTCATTTAAAAGCACATTCTAACCTGACAAACTATATTGTACCGCCCTGGCAGATATGAATTTCCCTCATTGCACATATTTGGGTTTAATTCCATGAAACTTATTTCTGATCAGAAATTGAAGAGGTAAATAACAGGATATTTTTCCTCTGTGATTTGCACGATTGATTTTGTTAATTAAAACCTCTCAAATACGTTTGATCGCCAAGCACATGTTAATCTACTTTTAGAAAAGCATACTTTTGAGAGAACACGGTCAACGCTATGTGATTTTTCTACCGATATAGAACCGATTTAACCGTTTCTCCTTACTAAAATTATTTTCAAACCCGAACTATGCAAATTTTACACGCCAATGGTTTATGGACATATAAATACCGCACGACGCATACGTGAGTGCTGTAAGTTCATACGTACTTATCCCTTCCGTGTTCACAAAGAAAGAACGAAATTGCGTCGAAAAAAATAACGGCAACAAAGTTTAAGCTCAAGCAAAAGGTTGGTTAGAACCCACAACGGCCAGATCTAGATGAAATTTCAATATAGTGTTTCGAGTTATCAAGTTACGAGAATCGATTGATTTAGATACAAATTGAATCCCACACTTAACTCCAAACCGAATTAAAAGTACGTTTGTTTTTCGAGGGTAATAAAACTCAGCGACTCTACAAAAAATTGTTTGTTGAAGGATTGATTTACCAAGATTTACATGAAACGAAACAGAAACTACAAAGTCAGTCATGACGAAGCAACTTCCGTACAAGATAGTGAATCAAACGCAAATCGAATTAACCCTTTTACTCGTCATTGATCTTATTCTTTCGACAAAGAAAACCTCTAACCT